TCGTTAGCTGCCCAATATCCGCGGAAGCTTTGTGAGGAGTACTGCAAGCTAGTGGTGACGGCCTTCAAGCACACCCTCCAGCTGGAGTACTGGCGACACAGGTTGACCACCAAGACGGAGGAGGTTTCGGAGCTCAAGAAGAAGTGGCTATTGAGCAAAGAACGAATCTATCAAGGACCTCCTGAAGGTAGACAAGTTGCAGATCCTTCCAAAAGAGTGTGGGAAGCGGCGCAAGCCTCGCAGGACACTAGGCCGCAGTTGGGGATGTCCAAGAAAGCCAGAAGGGAAGAGGAAAACGATCGATTCATCGGTGGCATGAGGAACCCGGGACGAGCTGTAGAACGACTCTCGAGGGTGCGGCAGGTGGGCATGGACGTGTCGAGGATTTGGGACAGGTTCATCCACGATTACCCGAAGGCCTTGGACATCGCCAGGAACTATGGGTCAGAGGCGAACAGACCGGATATGGAGATCGAGATGATGTGGAAGGGAGCTCTAAAGATGTTCTTCCAGACGAGGGCGTTCCCGGACATCATCCTCAAGGACAAGTATGAGTTTGAATCTCCACTGGACCCAGAGCTTTGGGACGCATGGTTGCGAGCAGCGGCTGACCCGGAAAAGCATTTGGTGGATTGGATCCGCAAAGGGGTGCCTCTGGGGATGAGCAAAGAGATACCTTGCTGTGGCATCTTCCCGATGGCGGACGACCCGGAGCTAGACATGGAGGAGATGCCGGAGCTGGTGGATCAGTTGGGAGCAGTCAACTACAAGTCCTTCACGGAGGAGCCGGCGCATGCGAGAGCAGAGCTGAGTAGACTCGTGGAGGAGGGATTTGCGGTGGTGCTCCCGACGGCAAAAGCGCAGGACATGCACAAGAAGGGCATCGTCTCGAAGCTGGCCTTGTTGATCAAGAATAAGGACGACGGGAGTGTCAAAAGGAGAATCATCATCGACTTGCTCAGGTCAGGAGGCTATGCCAGGTGCCGCGTGCCGGAGCGGATCGTCCTGCCCAGGGTGGTGGACGTGATCGATGGCTTCAGGTACTTGTGGAGCACCAGGGACCGCATGAAGAGCAAGTCGAGAGATGAGGAATGGGAATTGGATGAGGATCGACCAGAAGGAGGCATCTTCGATTTTGAGCTGGTGACCGCAGATCTCAGCGATGCCTACTGTCACCTGCCAGTGCACCCCGAGGAACACCCAAATTGCTTGAGCCCAGGATTGCATCAATCTGAAACGCTCATGTGGGTCGCGATGTTATTTGGCTTCAAAGGTGCACCTCTGTTAATGGGCAGGTTTGCAGCGTGTCTGGCACGGATCTGGCAGTCGCTGATAGCTCCATCGGAAATGCAGAGCCAGCTGTATATGGACGATCCCATGTGGATTCTTCGTGGTCCGACTTCCCGACGGAACAGGAATCTGGCGCTCTTGCTCTACACAGCGAGAGCACTAGGTTTGAACCTGGCCTGGCACAAAGGTTCGCGGGGTCACAGTTGACCTGGATCGGAGTGATGTTTGAGGTGGTCCAGGCGGAGGCTGTCATTAAGCTCACTGTCCCCAAGAAGATGATGGCGGAGGTTTCACAAGCGCTGGAAGCCTGGGAGTCAAGAGGGATGGTGAGCTTCAAGGAGGTGCAGCAGCTGACAGGAAGGCTATCATGGATAGCGGGCATCCTTCCGAGATCACGATGGGCTGTCTCGATCATGTATGCGGTGCTCGCAGATGCCAAGAGGACAGAGCATGAAGAAAAGAAGAGGGCAGCGAAACGAGTCGACCAGCGACCGAAGGTTGGACTCATTGCGGTCAAGCGCTTGGAGCTCCCGAGGCGATGGTTCATCACGTTGTTCAAGGAGCCGGAGGCATTAGCGTTGAGGAAGGAACCAATGGTTGAGCTGCTGCCGGACTATGCCATTGTGACGGATGCGAGCCCTCAGGGAATCGGCGCTCTTCTGGCGACAGTGGACCACACCATGGGGCCCTCCTTCACTATCCTGGAAGGGTTGGAGATCCCGCTCGAAGAGGCCGACGCAAGGTGGCTTGGAGTGCCCTGGAAGGAATCAGCATCCCAGGGTCCACTGGAAGCATGGGCGGTGAAACTGGCAGTGAAGCGGTGGGCCAACAAACTGGAGGGCAAGAGCATCGTGTTGCGCAGTGACAGCGTGGTGGCCTTAGCTATGACCAAGCGGCTTTCATCCCCCTCCCCGGTGGTGAACTGGGTGGGGGCAGAGCTGGCAATCAGGTTCGAGCGGGCCGGCATCAAGCGGGTGGTGACGCAGCACATCCCGGGTAACTGGAATGTCGAGGCAGACTGGCTTTCACGACCACAAGACCGAGGAGAGAAGCCTGAGCGTCTGCAGAAGGTGCCAATCAAGTCTTTCCCAAGGAACTTGATGCACCGATGTTACTTGTCTCCCCCCGGGATTGCACCACAGCTCTGGGGTGCGTCGGCCCAGCAGGTCTCAGGAGCCTTCGAGCTGCTTTGAAGGGATGAGGATGAAAAATTTTCGTCGCTCATTCTCGGCTTGAGGGGCGAGGTTTGAGGGGGCCGGAAGACGGGGGGAGGGGGCACGGGGTCGAGTCGATTCGCTGTCGCATGTCGATCCCGAGTTGTGAGTGGCTGTGCTCGTGAAAGCGCCGGGAGAGCTCACGATGGCTCAAGTGATGGTAAGGCCCGATCCTGCCGTGGTGGCAGGAGATAGGGCGGCGGAGTGGGCCTTTGGCGAATACGCGGTACTAGCCGGGTGGGCCTTCTTCGGGCTGGGCCTCTTGAAGGGCGTGTGGGAAGCGCTACGTTGGAGCAGCTCTCCGCGGAAACCAGAGAGCGGGGAACAGGCGGAGAGGACACCTACCAGAGTATGCTCTCAATGCGGCAGGTCAAGCGAAGAGGTGCAGCTGAGACGAGAACAATCCCCAAAGAGAGAAAGTTCGAGAAGGCGACAGGTCAGTGTCACGCCAGAGAAGAAGCCATTAGAGTGGCCAAAGCCGGAATCCCCAGGGAGGTCGCCAGAAATTCAGCGGGCAAGAGCACAGATCCTCGAGGCCATGGTTCAGAGGGCTCAACCAGTGGTGCAAGACTTACACGACATGCGCCGCCTTGGTGGAGTGGGACCGGTGCTGCGACGTGGATCCCGCATTCAGTGAGCTCGAGGAGGACGTTGGGGGTCGGGGGCTTTGGCTTCAAGAACCCCTCGAACTGCATGGTGGAGCTAATTCGGAATAGAGTGCACGGAGGAAATCACCATTTTGGTGTCAACAGTCCATCGGAGCAACCGGAAGGGAAGCACCGAGATCAGGGACTCTCGCGGGAGGAGCAAAGGGCCAGTGAGAGGTCAACGAATAAGGGCTCCTTCGACGAGGTCATGGACATCCTGAAGGAAAAGGAGAAACTGGCCAAAGCTAGACAGGAGTTGAGAAAAGACTTCATGGCCGACTCATCTAGAGCCTCGCAGAGAACGAAAAGGGAACAGGTGTTGGCAATGGCCGCGGAAGCACGTGACCCAGGAGCTGACACTTTTCCGCTGAAGACAGAGACGGTGGAGGCAGTGGCTGCGGCGATAAAAGCGGTGGGCTGGACTTCGGGAGATCAGTACATCAACGAGCTGAAGCTGATGCACATCGAGGCTGGATGGGACGTGAGTCAGCAACTGAGCAGAGCTTTGGCCGACTGCAAACGATCTCTCCGAAGGAATAGAGGCCCAGTGAAGAGGGCGCCGGAGTTCAGGCTGGAAGACATCGAGCAGATGAAGTGGATCCTGACGTGCAGAGGTCCGAAGAAGGTGGCGAGGCCGGCTCTGGCATACGCTTGGGCTGTGGTCTGGATGCTGAGAGAGATTGAGGTCAGCGCCATGAAATGGAAGGATGTGTCAGCAGACTGGAGCAAGAGAAGGATTTCCATTTTCATCCTCGTCTCGAAGTGCGACCAGCAAGCCCTAGGCGTAAGAAGAACGATGCAATGTTGTGCCTACAGATCCTGCCAAAGATGGTGCCCGTGGAAGGTGTGGGTAGAACTATGGAGAGCCCTTCATGGAGAGCAAAGAGACCCACACGAGTTCATCTTCCAGGACGCCGAAGGCAAGAAGTTGTCAAAGGCGAAGATGGTGGAAGGCTGGGCCATGGTGACGACCCCCGACATTCAAGGACACTCTGCACGACGGTCTGGAGCCATGGGGTATGTGAGACTGGGCATGCCAATTCAGGAGTTAGCATTCCTGGGACGTTGGAAATCCTCCGTGGTGCTCAACTATGCCGAGGATGCCCTACAGACGGAGCCAGCAAACAGAAATTTGAAGCGCGAAGGTGATCGCAAACCCAGAAAACAAGAGAAGAAACTGGAAGTCATGACGAAAGAGGAGCCGAACACGCTTCAGGGACTTCCCGAAGGGCCATCAGAAAGCACAACACAAGAGAAAGAAGGAGACAGAGGCTCGGAGCAATGCAAAGTAGTGGTCACATCCCTACCCAAAAAGCTGTGGGTCGCCTCTACAGCCTACAGCTCAAGAGAGCGGGTGTGGCATCAGGTAGAAGATGCTGGATGGGATGTGCCGATAGAGGCCTGGACTTCGATTTGCGGGTGGCCGTTCAGCAGGAACTCATCGAAAGTCATCCTCAACTCCCAATTGACGGTGGCACAAAGGAAATGCAAGAAATGCCTAAAGCGAACTTGCGGCGGTGCCAGTGAGGATGGTGTGGCAAGTTCAATGCCAGTTTGAGAGACTGACCATGA